ATGCAAATTTGGGTTGTAAATTGAGTTAGATTGTATTTCCCTAACAAAAAATTGATACCATAATAACTTTATAAATTTTATGTTTTATAATTTTTGAAGATTATTTTATAATTTTTATGATAACTTGCAATCAATCAAAAAAATATTAGAATCGAAACTTCAAAAAAATTGTAAATTTTGAAAGTATAGTATCAAACTTTTTTTTTTGGTATCGTAGTCTCGCCAGAGTAATATTAATTACAATAGTAAATTAAATAATTTATACTTATTGATCAGAATAATAATAATATAATTATATCTGTACTACAAATAAAACTACTTTAACATAAAAATTTTTTTGATTCACTATTTTACACCTATAAAGAATTGTAAAAATCATTCTATCATTGCATTGTTAAATATCGAAATACCATCATATCTTTATGTATTTGAATCTTTAAATTATTCTCGAACATCTATTCTAATTTTCTATTCTCTATGTATAAATATCAATATCTATAAAAATTTTAAATTGACTATATTATTATTAAAAAATATATGCATCATTATAGTCACTATTGTATTTTATCCCCACTTGACTTTATTAATTCTTAATTATAGTAAGGTAACAATATGATTAGGATATTGATAATTATTTTTATTTTAATCAATAAATTATAAGTAAAATCCTAATTAAATGAATTTTATAAAATTTAATTTTTTAAACATCATTATAAAAATTACTCTTAATCCCAAAATTCTAAAAAATACAACTTTATTTATTTATTTNGGGGGGGGGGGGGGGGGGGGGGGGGGGGGGGGGGGGGGGGGGGGGGGGGGGGGGGGGGGGGGGGGGGGGGGGGGGGGGGGGGGGGGGGGGGGGGGGGGGGGGGGGGGGGGGGGGGGGGGGGGGGGGGGGGGGGGGGGGGGGGGGGGGGGGGGGGGGGGGGGGGGGGGGGGGGGGGGGGGGGGGGGGGGGGGGGGGGGGGGGGGGGGGGGGGGGGGGGGGGGGGGGGGGGGGGGGGGGGGGGGGGGGGGGGGGGGGGGGGGGGGGGGGGGGGGGGGGGGGGGGGGGGGGGGGGGGGGGGGGGGGGGGGGGGGGGGGGGGGGGGGGGGGGGGGGGGGGGGGGGGGGGGGGGGGGGGGGGGGGGGGGGGGGGGGGGGGGGGGGGGGGGGGGGGGGGGGGGGGGGGGGGGGGGGGGGGGGGGGGGGGGGGGGGGGGGGGGGGGGGGGGGGGGGGGGGGGGGGGGGGGGGGGGGGGGGGGGGGGGGGGGGGGGGGGGGGGGGGGGGGGGGGGGGGGGGGGGGGGGGGGGGGGGGGGGGGGGGGGGGGGGGGGGGGGGGGGGGGGGGGGGGGGGGGGGGGGGGGGGGGGGGGGGGGGGGGGGGGGGGGGGGGGGGGGGGGGGGGGGGGGGGGGGGGGGGGGGGGGGGGGGGGGGGGGGGGGGGGGGGGGGGGGGGGGGGGGGGGGGGGGGGGGGGGGGGGGGGGGGGGGGGGGGGGGGGGGGGGGGGGGGGGGGGGGGGGGGGGGGGGGGGGGGGGGGGGGGGGGGGGGGGGGGGGGGGGGGGGGGGGGGGGGGGGGGGGGGGGGGGGGGGGGGGGGGGGGGGGGGGGGGGGGGGGGGGGGGGGGGGGGGGGGGGGGGGGGGGGGGGGGGGGGGGGGGGGGGGGGGGGGGGGGGGGGGGGGGGGGGGGGGGGGGGGGGGGGGGGGGGGGGGGGGGGGGGGGGGGGGGGGGGGGGGGGGGGGGGGGGGGGGGGGGGGGGGGGGGGGGGGGGGGGGGGGGGGGGGGGGGGGGGGGGGGGGGGGGGGGGGGGGGGGGGGGGGGGGGGGGGGGGGGGGGGGGGGGGGGGGGGGGGGGGGGGGGGGGGGGGGGGGGGGGGGGGGGGGGGGGGGGGGGGGGGGGGGGGGGGGGGGGGGGGGGGGGGGGGGGGGGGGGGGGGGGGGGGGGGGGGGGGCATACATGTTATATTTGGCTTGTCTGTCATCAAAAGAAAAAAGAAATGAAGGATGCATTGTGTGCGACAAAGTTTTTGGTGGGTTTAACACACCATGTTGTCCTGTGTTGTACATTACTAATAAAAAATTATACGTGCCTAATAAATACCTGTTACGTATCATATTGTCAAATTCTTTTTTGAAAAACCCAACTTGTAAGTCCAACAAACTAGTTTTGTGATAGTCTCTCATCGAGTGTGCAGACTACGTGATAATATTACATCCACATGGCGTGTTAAACCCATACAAAATATTCTCTATCGTGTGTAGTGAGCTGATTTGGAAGAATAATACTAGATGAACTTAAAAATTAAACTTAAAACATAAACTTGATAATCTCAACCATTGAATAGGTAGTGAGTCCTAGTATTTGAGTCTCACAGTAAAATCAATAGTTATAATTATTAAACCTAATTTTTAAGTCTATTTTTTAATTCCATGTAATATTGCTCGATTTAAAATGTTCGGTTGCTGCCATAGAAACCATGTCACCACGCCATATCAGTAACTAAAAATATTGAGTAAATTTATTTTTTATTTTTTATTTTTTGTCCGATAGGATTACTTATAAGTTTAACATTGTCTCTTTACCATATTATTTGTTCGAGTATTATAAGTTTAGAACACATAATAGGGTATTAGGACATATTATTATTATTATTATTATTTTCGCTTTGTAAAAAATGGGTAGGAACAAATGAGAGCATCTAGAAACCACCTCAATAGATCTTCACTAGTGGGAACCACATCTATTACTCTTCTCGGGGACGATTTTAGCTACATTAGTATAGCGGAAAATCATTGAGTCTCAATGTAAACTCTAAGACTCAAACCTCTAATCTCAAAGTAAGAAGTTTGGTCGGTATTCCACTGAACCACCCTACTCAGTGGTTATTACATATTAAGATGCACGCGATTGCTTTTATAAACTAAGAATTAAGTGTTTATTGTTTGACCTTGTAAATATTATATAGACTCGAAATGTATACGATAACTCACTAAGTTAGAAATTAACAAAATTTTTAGGAGTGATTTAGTAGTCAAACTTACTTTTTTGCAAGTAAAAAGTCTCAGGTTTGATATTATCCACATCTTTTACGGGTTAGGTCAGTCATCCTTGTTTTTGAAGGACATGTTCTTAAATTAGCTCAAATTACAGTGATCGATTCAAAATTCGAGGGAATAGTCGGTGCAAATCATAGACGACCATAGTAAACTAACAAAAGACTACCATGTAAACTTATTTTGACTATTAATTTTATATTCTGATTAAGGTTTCATGTTCTGAAAATATGGTAGAAATAAATTATTATTAATAAACATTTTTTTTGTTATCGGTGCTTTATCCTTAGGGATAATCCAGTAATTTTACCATTTATTTTTTGAAATTCACCTAACACATTTCGGCGGCGACCGACGCTTTGCCGTAACGAATACATGTCCCATTCGCCTAGTCCACACCAGAAAAACACACTCTCGAGAATACGCAAATATACTTACTCGCTGCCCTTCACACTTAGCTGTCATCAAATGTATGCTGATTTGGCGCAAAT